ATGGTAGAGAATAACTATCTAAATATTTCTATGAAACTATCTATAGAAATACCTATAGTTATTCTCTATGATTCGAGTTCCGGAACCGAACTAAGAAGGTCATCGAAAAGACTAGTGCTTGCAGTTTTAGCTTGATTAACTGGTTCAACCGTTCAAGAATGTTGTTCGCAGATTCTAAGCCATGAACTCCATCCCCCGCTTCACTATTATATAAGTCAGCTGATTTGGAGGGATCTTTTAGGGAGATAGAATTAGATTATCCAGATCCAATAGTATTGTTTTGGGAATTAGCTTCCCTTCGCAAGGTAGTGGCCATTACTGTAATATCTACCTCACGTGATCTATAGTGAGTTTCATTATGTTCACTGTCAGCTGCAGGAGAGTTGAGATTAAGAAAAACAGTCTGACGAAAGGAATTTACTCCTGAATCCTCAACCATCATTTCAGAATTTGAAGTAACATCACCATTCTCTTTGGTCACAGTTAACTCATCCGTAGTTGTAAGAGGTCCAATATCTTCAAGAAAAGGTTCATGATTTGTTCCAATGTGACCATTTGCAATCTCTATAACTGGCTGATGATTGTCGGTAAGATTACTAGATTCTATAGGGTCTGAACGATTCATGTTTTGAGCATCTTCTTTCCGGTATTCTTCTCACCCTTTTCCTTGATCAAGTGTTCCTTGCTCAGTTGGTTCATTTCTCACTGATAGATTGACTACAGAACAAGACAATGGATTCGCCGACTCTGGTTGAGCATTCGATTCAAAACTTTAAACAATGAGATTGTGTTAGATATGCATCAAGCTTTAGAACAAATATATCTAAAAAAAATATATTTGAAGATGTACCTCCGCATTGCATATACCCAACTATTAACCAGATTTTCCAGATAAGCAACTTGAAATAAAATTCGAATATATCGACATATGTCCTTTCCAGCATTGATTTTTACATTGATCCACCCCACTAAAAGAGCTCAAGAACTTTTCGTACCTCAAAGGAGACTTCCCTCAATGACATATATGTTCCTTTATACGCTGATAATCCAACAGCAATAAGGCCTTTGACAATGCAGAGGAATTACAAGGACGATTGATACACGAATTAATCGGCCATCCTCTTCAAGGACCAGAAACATCCACACTTGGTCCTTCCTTAAGCTTTATTGTCACCCAACAAAGCTCAACAAATTGAGGATATCGTAGAATTTGATTACCAAATGTACAGATAGCTAATTGCAGGCTTGATTTTGCTTTCACATTTACGCTGGTAGGTAATGGTGATAGTTTTAAAGAACCATCACCATCAAGAGATTTTGATTTAACACCTTTCCCTGCGTCATCATAAATGTTTTCCACATCTATAATATAATAAGAGGCCATCACTATCTAGAGATGGACACGTGATTGGCCTCATTACTTGGCACGTCGCCCTTTAAACAGAGAAGATCTGACTCTTCGCTGTCTACTCTGAACATTGGAAACGGAGAAGATCTGAGCATACCTACCTTTGAAGCGAGATCTCAGAAGATCAGTGATGCCTCAACCTCTCAGTGAAGAAAGACGATGAGCGTATGCTTTCCCATTTTCCTTTTTCTCTTTTTCATTTCACCATATCTCTGGTTACACCGTTTCATTATTCCTGTTCGTTTCAACCTCTAGGTTTCATAACCTCTTTCAGTTGACTCATTACGTGGTTTAATCTTTAGGGTTCGCCTGTTCAAGGGGACTTTCAACGAGATTTTTTGTATACATATGAAATCTCTCCAGCGACATGGTTTCAGCCTTCCCGATGAGCCCTTGGTTGATGGTATTGGGTTTCGTAGGTTGATGTTGTGTTGTCGCTATTGGGTGGTTCTACCGAGCTCTCTGCTGGTCCGCATGTGATGGAAATAGCTCACCAGAATCATATGGTAAACTTTGTTATTTAAGTCACATTCTTCCCAATGGTCA